TATTGTAGTGGAGATGACTGAAAAACAAAAACAGAACAGAGTCAAAAAAAGACAGAATATGGCAATTGACGTTGCACTTAAACTTTTGAAGATTGTAGTTATCAGAGAAGCAAGAAATCAGAAGGGAGTTCCACGGGTGAGATATACGAGAAAAAAAAACTGTTAGTTAAAATAGAAGTGGCGGTTGAATTTAGCTAGTTCAAGAGTAAAACGATGAGACCTAATTGCCAGTTTAGTAGTACGCTCAAATTCAATAGTCGGGACACCAGAGAGTAAAAGCTCACCAGAAAATTTGCCATGAAAATATCTGTAGAAAAGACAGAGGCAAGCTACGTCACGTTGGTGAGAAAGTGACTGAAGTTGAGATGTCTGGTCAGGATCAATTACATTGCAGACACTTCTTTGGATTAAGTCAAGATCCTCCAGTGAATAGCAGGAGTACTAGACCAGATAGGGCTACAATATTCAGTGCACAGACGAATGGTAGATTTGTAAATGTGCAAGATGGACCCTGACGTGAAAAACCTTCTGGCACGACGCAGTAACCCAACTTTATTGAATTTTGTAAAGAATCTGAAGATGATGTACAACAGGATAACCAGAACAGATATGCATTGCAATCTCTCTACTTGAATATTTGATACTGTTTCGAGTATTCCCATAACGATGTCAATACTAGTTTCTTTGTTGTTATTATTATTATTATTATTATTATTATTATTATTCAACTCTTACCGAAAATGAAGCTTTCTTAGTCTGCCAAATATTGCAATAGGTAATATGGATTTATTTTGAAGATTTCTTTTTAAAAGAAAATAGTTGAATTCTTGAAGATCATAAAATGTTACTTTTTTTTTATTAAGTAAAAAAAAAATCAGTAACAAATTGAGAAAAGAAACCCGACAACAGATTTTTCTCGAAAATTATTTTTATATGTATTTCTTCAAAAAGAAAATGGAGGATAACTTTGATAATTTCTTTTGTGACAAAAATATCTAATATTCTGATCAAACGTGTATCGAATCAGTAAATGTATTCATGAAAATTTTCCAACAAAGGTGATGATATTAAAGAAAGGTACAACAGAGTTTAAAAAACTAATCAATTTTCACGTACAAGACATCATCCTTTTGGGTTAAAGTCATTATCTTCGCGACGAAGACACGAATAATATTTGTAAAAGCATTTGCTATTATTTTAAGCGGAAAAAATGATTTTATAATTCAAAGACATTTCATCTTATGCTTCATCTTGTATTTTTATTAATGTATTCGAAAACTAATTACGTATTTCAGTGTTACTTATTATGAGACAACCATCGAAGACAGAATCAAGGTTTCAATGGTAAGAAACTGAATCTAGAATTAGTTTATCTTCTCTTCTATTAAGGTGTTTCGAAAGTAATTAGCTTTTTCACCGTCATGAATTATGAGTCAACCAACCAAGGTAGAATCAAAGTTTAAATGGTATCAAAAGGTTTTATCATCTCTATTATCAATGTTTCATTTATAGTGCTTTTCAGGATATAAAACCAGTGAATAATTAATTATACGCTTAAAATATAATTATAAGTTATAATATTCTATAATGATGTTCGCCATTTATTCTGTATTAATTCCAAAATGGCTGTCCTGTTATAGACAGTTAAAAAATTGTGATGTGTATACGGATGCAGTGTAAAGTTGTACATATCTGATGCATGTTAAAAGGTTTAGAAATGACTAGGTTGGCATATGCAACAAGCCTCACGCTGGAAAACGGCTATTTCTGAATTAAAGTTTTAAAGATTCTGATGAATTGGATCCACAACAAACCAGCAACTATCTGCTGCAAAACTTAATGATAATTTTCATCTGCCTACAAACACCATTAAGAAGCCTTCTTGTGCACTACAGAATAACAATGAAGTGTACCAAATGACAGAAACCACATCCCTTGAGGAATTTATCTTTCAGCTAGAGGCTAAACAATTTCGCCAGGATTAGGGATAGCTCTGGGTTAAGATTCAAAGCAACTACAGGAACTTGAAGAAAGTCAGTAAAATAATTTGCTGGCTAAATAATTATACTATGAATTCTGTCAAGATAGAAATTGTGTATGCATTTGCTTCCTTTTCTTCTATGAAAGAGTGCGCATTGCTGGTGAACCAGAAGTTTTCTGGGAGTGGACTATAAATTGCCAAGGGGAGTTGTAGTGTGCAGATGGAAAAAAAAACTGTCGATACTCGATCAGTATCGGCTGGATCACTGTGGAGAGGGGGTATGATGTTGAAAGACCTAAAAGCCCCTAATGAACCTCGGCTAGAAACATCACTGATGATTTGTACCAAAGTATCCAATAGATGTATTTTACGAAATACTATGAATTTATATGACAAAAAGATTCTGTAAAAGAAATTACTATAAACTTCTGCATCCGTCAAATTAAAATACGCTTTGATAGTCTTTCTTTATAGTGATTTGCGTCTATTTAGTTTATTTTATTGTTTAAATATCGCGGACGAATTTAGTTAAAGATTCGTGTTAATCAGTTCTTAATTTACTCAGTCGTAATCTGAGATGTGGCACACACCTGAAAGTATCGGGCACCCAGTGAGGATCGAACTCTTTATTCAATTACCATTGAATAAAGTGTTCGATCCTCACTCGGATTACACCACGTCGAAGTGCCCAGGGTATTAAGCGTAGATCTGATATTGTATAATGCCGAAAATATTTGAGAACCCATGTTGCGTAAAACTCCCCGTTACGCCTGCTTGGTTTCAGGCTGTCTACTGACATAGGGTGGAATAAATACATTGAATCAATAGCTTCATCTACCGCAAGGAAATTTGGTTCTCTGTGTCGTGCCAGAAAAATTCAAATCTATAAATCGACCCTCCGTCTTTGGCATCTCAGTCCCACCCTTTCGCTGTCAAAACAGTTAAATGTATCCGTCTCTTCTTCTCAAACAGCTTCATTTCCCGTCTGTAGAACTCCCTTCTCTTTACTTACTTCCCCGATGACTATAATCTTCAAATATTCAAGTGTAATGTCAATCGACATCTGACACCCTGAGCTTGTTCCCCGTCCTTCTCTGTATCCTTTCCTCGAACACGCCTCTTTACTCTTGTTATCAATCCTCTGTAACCCCTTGCGTGGTAGTGGCACTCCCGGCTTGCTTAGGGTGAATTGCTTAAAAATAAAAGTAAGACCAACTAGGTAACCATTAAACCACGTCGAATTGCCCATGACATGGCATATAGAGATTTCTTAAACGTATCAACGGATATGGTATAAGGCCAAATATATTGGACACGCAGTGACTATCGAACACACTACACAGTTGTAATTGATCTAGCTTGCTTAATCATTACACCACGTCTAAGTGCCCAGGGCATAGCATATAATGATTTATTAAATGTAGCTCAGATGTGGTACAAGACAGATAGTAAGGGGCACCCGGTGAGGATCGAACTCATTACTCAGTCGTAATTGATCTAGCAAGACCAGCTGGCTAACAATTACACCACGTCGAAGTGCCCAGGGCATAGCATATAGTGATTTATTAAATGTAGCTCAGATGTGGTACAAGACAGATAGTAAGGGGCACCCGGTGAGGATCGAACTCATTACTCAGTTGTAATTGATCTAGTAAGACCAGCTGGCTAACACCACGTCGAAGTGCCTCAATCTTTATATTTTTCGCCTTATATCGCAGGGACGATTTAAGAAAATAATATTTTCATATATTCGCTGAGGTGAAGTGTTTCTTGTTATGAAAGCTAAACAATTCTGAATGACTTTAAAATCCAAATACTGTCCCCCTATCAACTACACGATTGTTGCATTGTCATTAACAACAAATCACGCTTTTTGCATCTTCTCGATTTCTCCAATTTACGTGGATCATCTCCATGGATCTCAAGGTAAAAAGATAATCCGCTTTCTTCTTCCTTATTTGAGGCTTAAACCTCTGCATTATTCCCGCCATAATTGAGTAAGTCTCTTTTAAACATGTTCTTTTAGGTTCTCATCTGTTCATCTTTTTTCAGATCTTTTCTCATGTCGTTGTCTTCATTTTTTTCTTCTTGTCAGCCATTCTATTTTTTTTCGTTCTTGAATATTTTCTCATACGTTCAGCAAAGTTTATTTTCATCGACTTCCTTTGCACTATTTTCTATTACTTAAGATTTTTGTTTCATCATTTCCACCTTTTAATTCTTCTTGCATTTTATCTAGCTTTTCAATTCCTATTCAATTTTTCTATTCTTTATTTTCTCTCTCTCTCTTTCTCTCTCTTTCTTTCTCTCTCTTTCTTTCTCTCTCTCTTTTTCATATTTATCTTTCACTTTCTTTTGTCTTTCTTTTATTGTTTTCCTTTCATTCTGTTTTTAATGTTCTTCTTTTTTATATTTATTTTCTTTTCTTTTTTCATTTCTTTCTCATACCATTCCTTCTCTTTCCCTTCTATTAGTTTTCTTGTTTTCTTCGTTATATTCAATCGGTATTTTTTTCTGTCTTTCTTATTTCTTTCTTTCTTTTTTTTTGCATTTCTTCGTTAATTTTATTTTCTATATTCTTTTTCTTTCTTTCTTTTTTGTTGTTTTCATCCTATGTTCTTCCCTTTCTTAATGTTTATTTATTTTTTAGTTCTTTTAAGTTCCTTCTCTCTCTCCTTCTTTAAATTATATATGAGCTTTCTTTTTACACTCCTTTCTGTCTTTCTTTCTTTCTTTCTTTCTTTCTTTCTTTCTTTCTTCATATTATTTCTGTGCTTTTGTTTCTTCTGTCTTTCTTTTACTGTTTGCTTCCAGTTATTTTCACTCTCCTTTCTTTCTTTTTACTTTTCTTTTTTCTACTTTATTTTTATCCATTTCCGTTTTTTCCGTCACCTTCTCTATACGTTTCTTCCTTATACCCATTCTTCTCTTTCTTTCTTTTAGTTTTCTTTATTTCTTGTTCACTTCTTTATTTTCAATTTATATATATATATTTTTTGTTTTCATTTCTTTCTAATTTATGTATTTTCTTTCTCGTTATTTTTCATTTTCGATATTCCTTTTTGTTTTTTCTTTCTTTCCTTATTGTTTTTCGTTCTATTCCATTTTCGTTTCTTTACTTTTTTTATTACCCTTTTCCTCTTTCATTCGTTCGATTATCTATAAGCTTCTTTCCTTTTATAATCTTTCTTTTTTTTTATTTTACGGTCTTCTAAAAATATATTTCGTTTTTCTTTTCTTTGTTTTTTTTTTCACTTCCGTTCATTTCATTGACTTTCTCCAGTTTACTTTTTTCTTCTTTCTTAATTTCTTCTTCGTTTTTATTCTTCTGTTTCGTTCCATCTAACTCTGCATCTGCTTATTCTTCGTTTATTTTTTACCTAATTCCTATGGTAAAATTTTTTTTCTTTTTTTCTGTTTTCTAATCCATAATGTTCATTCATGTTATCATTATTCAGAAATACGTTTACTTTCTTTCTGTCCGCTCTCCATTATTTATGTGGATAGATAATTTGTCTGCCCATTTTCAATTCTTTTAAATATTTTTCCTTTGTTTCTTATTTTTCATTCTTCTTGCTTTTTTTTTCTATATTTTTTTTTATCATCAAAATTCCTTGGCGTCTTCATTCAGACAATTAGAGAACCAACGTCATTATTCCTATTGAAGTCCTTTCTCATATCTGCCCCTTGAAATCTAAGAAAAATAAGCTCGTTTCTTTGTAATTGCGTACGTTAGTTTATATTCCAACAATTTATTATATATTCTTGAATTTAAGGTCAGATATATATATATATATATATATATATATATATATATATATATATATATATATATATATATATATATATACAAAATAAGATAAAAATAGACATATTACTTCTCTTTTGATGTCATAATGAATTAACATTATACTCTCATTTTAAAAACAAAATGAATATTGTCATAAAATACAATTATAACATCTTTCGTAAATGATTGTTCATTCCATAAGTTTTCAAAACTAACATTATTAAAACCTATGTAATGATTATTTATTAACCCATGAGCAATAAAAATACATTTAAACTATTTTCATTAATATTAAAAATAAAAAGGAATTTCCTGAAGTTGTATCAAATAATACATTTTACTGAATGTGGGTGGAAAGAAAACTTGAAGAACCATTTAGTTTGTAGTTATGCTTTATCCAATGCAATTTTATCACAGATATGGTCAGTGGGCAAATTGCATTGAATCAAGGTAATTTAAAACCATTTTATATACAGAGTGTGATGAAAGTAACCATAGATCCATCCACTATTTATTATAGAGTGGTTCCAGGGGGAGATAACTATGCTTATCTTCACCACACTTCGGATATAAACTGGTTTTAAATTATTTTTATGAGGAAATATTATTAAAATGTAATTTTAAAAACATATACATCATACTTATTATAAAACCCAGGTTGTGTGTGTGTGTGTGTGTGTGTGTGTGTGTGTGTGTGTGTGTGTGTGTGTGTGTGTCTATTCATTTATATATTGGATCGTATTTCCTACATTTTTCAACCGATTTCAACAAAACTTCACAGGACTACGTAAAATTACCTTGCGGTGGTTGTGACAGCGCCAAAAATTGGAAAAACCCAATTGTTTTTGCCCGAAATCAATTTGAAAACACGATTAAGAGGCATCACTGTCGCCAGAATGAAAGGGGGACAACTCATATCGAGTTATACTTATTATAAAACCCAGGTTGTTTGTGTGTATCTGTGTTCGTTTATATATGGGATCGGATTTCCTACATTTTTCAACCAATTTCAACAAAACTTTTTTTTTTGGCAGGTAGTGTTTCTTATTGTCTTGCACACTTTTTCTTTATTTTTACATTCAGAATGCTTTAAAAATTCCATTTACAAGACAACTGTTTATAATAAAATTCTATTCAACACATAACGATTGAAAACAATGTTTTGTTTGAGTTTGGGTTTGACCAATTCGTAAAAAAAAAAATAATTAAGACATGCGTGTCCGTCAAGCTTAAACAATAATCTTTGTCAATTTTCTTTTTTCAGTCTTTCACTGTTATATTCCATTATTTATTAACAGTATATTCCATTCCTTGTCTTCCTAATCTTCGTAATGCTTTTGATCGACAGTCGTTCGAAGAGTTTTTTTCCTGTGCGTCCTAAGAAATTATTCTTAAATAAACCAACATCACAATGCCGATTTATTTTGCCAGGTACCATTTTTATTCCGCTGATATGTAATGATGCAATCTTCCACTCATGTTTATCATTCATTGCATTTTTCTTTTCGGGAAGAACTCCAATTATGAGTCTGCAAAGATTTTTTTATCATTTTATCATAACCGCTGAAGCCATTAAAATGCAAGGTGGAGTTATCGAGTGTGAAGTTGAAACCTTATTAAGTAACAAGAACAATAAAAGAACAGATTTTAAGAAGACAGAAGACAACGATTGGCATTGCATTTAATATTTTGAATATCAAACTTGATTTGAAAGTAAGATGTTGGGTTGAGAGTTTCACAAGAGAGAAATACGAGAGAAGAAACTGTCAACATAGAACTTACAGTTGTAATAGCCATCACGACTGTAAAATGATGAGAGCTTGCAGTCAATCTAGTACTGCGCCTAAATTCATAAAGTTTACATACTAGAGTGGAAAGTTCATCAGAATAATTACCATGAAAGTATGTATAGAAAAGAACATGGCGGCGATGGGGAAAGTGATTGCAGCCGAGACGCCAGGTCAGAATCAATAACATTGCAGATTATTCTTTGGATTTAATCTAGGATCTTTGAAAATATTACAGGAGAACAAGACCATATGTAGCAGCAATATTCTAAGAATGGACAAATGGTAGAATTATAAATATGTAAGATAGATTCGTGTGAGAAAAGTGAACCAACATTTCTAGCTGTATACATAGCGATTGATTGCTTCAGTATAATCTTTCCCCTTCATGTAAGCGGAAAGCTTTAGTCTGAGAAGTTGCAATGTTTCACCCTCCTGGAGGTTAGCACTATAACTGATGGTAAAAAATGTTCTTTCAGACGTTTAAAAGAGAGCATTCTCATTTTGTTGGGGTTAAAATTCACAAGCCATTCCTTGCCCCAGTTAACAAAAAGAAGTGCAACATTTATTAGATCAGTTGACAGTTTGATCTTATCGTACCTTGAGTACCTTCAGTCTCAGATCTGGGGTGTGATAAAGATGACCTTAGCCGAACTGATAGCTGGGAACCGAGTCCAGTGGTTTTGGAATATAGCACCATTCTTGTACGTGGCTTTCACGAAAATCTCTATTAGGACAAGCTTGATATGAAGGGCGGAAGCACAATCTTCATGACCACCAGATGATTTTCTTAGACGCTGTGTTCCCCAGATAGGAAAGTATTCCTAGATCTGCAGACCTTTTGCGTGTAGCGCCTGTAGTACGATTGTTCCAGAGATAGAGAAAGGGGCAATAATTCATGAAGCTTATACTTGAGAACCTCGAAAAGGAACTCCAATTTGTCATACGACTTCTTTAGATGAACTGAATGCGCAAGAGGAATACTGGGGTATTTATTCCCATTGTTCAGGAGCACACCCTTCGGAGTTCGCTTGGAAAAGTCAGTGTAAAGTCGGCAATCAGTGTTGCTTGGAAAGCCAAGGAGATAAACAAACTAGAAACATTTTTTACAGTAGCGCCATCCGTTTTCCATGTTGAAGAATAATTTCGTTGATTGTTTTTGTTTAGCGGCATACCAACTTCTATGCCGAAATCTAAATATTTTGTACGCAATTTCATTGATTTTTTTTTTATGTAATAATGGTTTTAATGATACAAGTCTTACTAATTAATCCCTAGCACGGGCAGAAGAGGTTGATTCATACTTTCTCCAAGGATATTTGTGCTTAAATGAATATAGCGATCCCAATGGCAATTTGAATTTGGCTCTCTGATTGAAAATTACAAACCATTATTTATTACACCACCAGCACATCTAAGCTTACAGCACTTGAAATTCCCAAGCGGTCACCCATCTACGTACTGACCAGTTTTGAGGTTGCTTAACTTCGGTGATCGTACGGGAACCGGTGTTTCCAGGTGATGTGTCTGTAAGTCAATTTCCCTGTGTGTCCTTGCTGATGCTAGTAACACTTGTGAATTGTCCCAATTATTCCAATCGTTTTCTTTTTTTTTTACTCTCAGACCGCAACAATAAGATTGGCTGCAATGTCACCGTTACCTTTCATAATTATTTTCACTTTTTTTTTTGTTAAGTTCCAGATATTTTTGTTGATTTTCAATTTCTTCCTCCATCTTTAAAAATCAGAATACGCCTCCCTTAGTACCATTAAAGTGGCTTGGTTGTAAGACATTCTTGCTTTTAGCAAATATTCAGCTATTGCTAAACCAGCGATATTTAGAACACTGATGTATATATATGTATATATATATATATATATATATATATATATATATATATATATATATATATATATATATATATATATGGCCAGTTCGCACTCACTTTTCTATCTTAAGGTGTTGGCTTTACATCAGGTCCAGGCAACCTGCTCTTTGCAAACAAAGGGATTGTTTGCTTGGACTTGCTGTTCTGCGATTCTAGCATCTTGGTTGGTATAATTTTAATTTTTTTTTTTCCTTCCTCCCTGTCCATTCATTCATGTCACCCATGACAGACTTTTTTTCTTTTCCTCATAATCTAAATTACTCGTTAACAGTTCTGACGAGAGGGGACGAAACCGGTCGACTGGTGTGTGTTTTATTTTAAACTTATCATGGCCTACAATACAACATTTCTAGTTTTTAATGCCTTAATATATATATATATATATATATATATATATATATATATATATATATATATATATATATATATATATATATATATATATATATATATATATATATATATATATATATATATATATATATATATATATATATATATATATATATATATATATATATATATATATATTGGCTCGTTTACAATGATATATATACTAAAATTCTGTTTCGGAGTATGTGATTGTTTTGATCTTCAAAGCCCCAAACCATATTATCGTTTTCATTTACACCGTTAGTTTTACGATTATAATTAAGACGTATGCATTGTTCCCAATAAACTAAATCCACCAATTATGTATGCCTATTTATCGTATTGTGGCTGAGCCTTTTGCTTATTATATGATTGTCATTTTTCGCTATCCATTCAGTAGTCAACATTTACGGTCTTAATTGTGTATCTAATTTACCTTGTCTGAAATATAATCCGTTCTTAATGAATTGTCCATAGTGGTTATTAATAATTTCAGTTTCTCTCTTCAAATGTCCTCTGCGTGAACATATTCATATCTCAGTTGAAATAACTTCTGCTTAGCTCTCGAGTTTCAGTTGAGCACTTTTATATGCCCGCTCTGGCCCTCTTTTCGATTAAATACTTCTGAATGTCTTAATATATCTCTCATTATAGTGCATTATGTAACTATTAGATCACCTGACTGCAAAGTCAATACAATATCTAAGGTTCAATAAGACACTAAAACTAGTCATTTTAATATTATCTTTTTCTTTTATAATCAACGAGTTAGTTCTTCATGCATTATCATCAGTTACTTTGTTCTAAGTTTCTTTATTCTTCTATTGTCCTGTTTATGAAGGAACCCAAGCATTTCTCAATTGATACTGGTCATAAATAATCATGTTCCGACATTTGCGATCAGTTTCCCAATTTCTTTTGAGTTCTGATTATTTATTTATAACAATTAGAAAAAATGTATAGGTGCATGCATACAACTAGTTCGACTAAAACTGAACAATGTGTTTTGTCTTATGACCAGCACATGTTCTCAGTACTGAATCAGGTTAAGTCTGAATTTCATTTGAAGATGTTGGAATGCATTTATATTACGTCCTACCAGCCATCCCTCTTTAAGCAAAAGGAGCTGTTGTTAGGCTTAAATGTAATTTACCTTTGATATATATATATATATATATATATATATATATATATATATATATATATATATATATATATATATATATATATATATAACATTCGGTCTTTGGTATAAGTTGTGCACATTCCTCATTCTCGATTGAGTTCTGGCGAAACTGATTTAACTACCTTTTAATTAACCATGCTGTATTTCAGTGTTACCACTTTATGGTAATTTTTCTTTATTTTGTTACCCCCTTTTTGTTATTCTTTATTATCCCTGTTTTGACATGTCCGTTTTCATCGCTTTAAAACAATTTTGCAACTGGATAACGAAAGATGCCTTCCAAAACCTAAGCAAAGTATTAAGAATCAAAAAAGAATTTCGTTAGAAAACAAAAACATGAGTACTGAACTGTTATGTAATATCAGTCCTACTATATGCCAAGGAATGCTGGACAATCTGCTCACAGATGAAGAAGTAACCCATGTTAACAGAAATGTGGTTCTGCAGAAGGATACTGAGAATACATACTGAACACGTGAGCAACGAGGACATTTTCAGAAAAATAGAAATTAGAATAAAAAAAGTGACAGAATATCTGAGAAATTTCAACTATCTTATCCTGATCTTAAGTCTTTGCCATTTTTGTTTCCCTTTTTTTCCAAGTATTCGTTGTTGTTCACATCGTATTCTCAGTATTCTTCTGAAGAACTACGTTTCTGTTGCTCCAAGTCTCTGTGGGATGAGATTATTCAGCATCGTCTAGCCTTCATCTGTGCAGAGTCTGGTATTCATTGACGTATAGGACGACTGATATTACAAAATCATTCAGTATCTTTTTTTTCTTTTGTTTCTAACGATTTTTTTCTGTTTCTTTGCTTAGGTTTTGAAAGGCACCTTCCGCTATGAAAATTAGCCTTTGGATATCAGTGTCGCACTTTCCGTCCTCTGTCAAAACACTTCCCAGACATTTAAATTGTTGCACTTGTTTGATCTTGGTATCTCTAATTTGCATGTTGGGCATTTCAGTTTTAAAGTATAATTCCGCAGGATTTAAAACGTATCCTTACTACTACGAAATGAAAAGGGTTTTGTTTTAAACCTTCTTTTTTATATTGACCTCGACCAACGAATGGGTTCCAGCTGTTAATCTCTCCTTTTCAGTTCTTTACATTAGATATTATTTCACATGCTAAGAACATGTCGTTAGTTTTATGTTCTTTTTTAAATACTTGTATTTTCCTTTTTCATTTTCCTTATATAAATAATAGATTGCTCTGTCATGTTTCTTTTCTACATTTTTTTTGTGCTTTTCGTTGAAGTTCGTGTTTTTTTTTGTTTTGTTCCTGAGTAATATATTGACCTGATAGGATTTTTTGCAACCTCGTCTCACAATATATTGGGTTTGATTCACCTGCATTTTTTCTTTGGCGGGAGGGTGCTTTTCATCAATCATTCGCGGAATTTTACTTTCATTAATTATTTGTGTAGTTTAGCTATACTTTTGTGTATCGGGATGAATCGTTTTTTATCGTAAACCACAGATTCTATCAAGCGCTGAGTTTTCAATAGAAATTGTTTTATCTCTGAGAACTGTTACCTAGAGTTTAATAAGGTCATCATGATGCAGTTCTTCAGATAGTCTTTCATTGATTCTAGTTAGGGGATTCCTTTAATCACAAAATTAAGTTCAGTACCAATTTGCATGTAAGTTTTAGTACTCCTTTGCCTATAATTATTAGTACTTGCATATAGTAAGCGTATAGTATCCACTTGCATGCATTGTTTAGTATTTACTTGTATGTATTGTTTAGTACCCACTTGCATATAATGTTTAGCATTCATTTCTTCGTAGTTTCAATACCCATTTGCATGTAGCTTTTCGTACACATATGCACATATTTTAGAACTTAATTCTGTGTAGTCTTTAGGACACATCTGCATATAGTTTTTTAGTATTTATTTGCATATAGTTTTTTAGTATTTATTTGCATATAGTTTTAAGTATTTATTTGCATATAGTTTTAAGTATTTATTTGCATATAGTTTTTTAGTATTTATTTGCATATAGTTTTTTAGTATTTATTTGCGTGCACTTTGTATACTTTTATGTACATATTACATATAGGTGTTCGTACTTATTTGCGTATAGTTGTTAGTAGTCATTTCTATTTAGTATTTTGTAGTTATTTTTTATGTATGGTATTCGTTTGATTATTTATTAATTTTTCCAGATTATTTTTTTTTCAATTTTAATAATGTTATCATATTTGAGGGTTGGTAAAGTGTCGCTAATTGCGTTTACACATGATCTGGTAATCCTGATTTACTTGTTTCACATCAGATAATAACTTTCTTGTGTTTATCAATTCTGATTGTGCAAAGAACGATTGGTTTCTCTATTATATCAGGTCATCCCATAAGTTCTGTCCGAATTTTGAATAAAGAAATCAAGTGACCAAATGTTACATTTAATTACAGATTTTATCAACAATGTATTTTCCATGATTATCTATGATTTCCTTCCATCTATTAACAAGCTTACTAATTCCATTACTGTAAAATCCTTTTGGCTTTGATTCGAAGAACTCACAAATGTCAGTTTTAACCTCTTCCTGTGTTACAAAAGCTAGTTCTTCTAAATGATTCTGTAAGCTACGAAACAAATAGTAGTCTGAAGGAGCAAGATCGGAAGAATAAGGTGGATGAGGAATTTTCTCCCAGCCAAGTTCTTTGATCATTTGTGACGTGATTCTTGCTGTGTGGGGTCTCACATTGTCCTGATGAAACATGAACTCTTTTTGATTTACTAGAGCAGGTCTTTTTTTCCTCAAAGCTTGGTTCAAACGCTCTAATTGCTGACAGTATATTTGAGCATTAATTGTTGCATTAGGTGGCAAGAAGTGGATTATTCCTTATCGATCCCACCAGATTGAAAGAAGAACCTTTTGCCCATGAAGTTCCCTTCTCGGCTGTGGCTAGGGTCCTTCCCCTTTACCAAGCCACTGTCTACGACGCTTAACATTTCGATAAAAGATCCATTTTTCGTCGCCAGTCACAAGTCTATCCAAAAAAGATGAAACAAGTTGGCGAGAATGGAGAGAAGAGCAGATGTCAACTCGGGATTTGAGGTTG